CTAAAATAAGCGGACTCATTTTTGTGAACTTTTTAAGTACATAGTAAAACGCTAACTAAAATTTGTTTGATCATCCTCTCCAACAATAACGTCAAATCGAATTTTGCATGGTAAAATAACCCCTATTTAAATTTCATAAAATAACTACTCTTGTAGTTGTAGTTTATGAATCCGCCTTGATTTTTTAAATTATTGTTTTAATTTTTATTGTTTAATCCTACTAATAGTAAAGTTCATTTAAAACATATGCGTAGCATGCTTCTTCACAGGTACTTTAACCGTCCACAATTACGTTTATTTTGACTTATAAATGTTATCATAAAAAATAAAGTTCGATCTAAATAAGCTTAGGCCAATCTTTCTATCTAATCTGTTCTTGGCTCAGATTTATATTGACTTGGCCTAATATTTGTAAAGCTGGCTCAATTGTCTTACATAAAATTTGTGTAGTATTTATAATGATCACAAATTATTAAAAAGTAAAATTAAATTAAATTACTTTTATTACATAAATGGTAGAAAAATAATACGTTTCTAAAGAAATGCGTGGGAGTCTATTCATGCCTCACAATCTGTGCACAAATTTTATATTTAATTAATTTTTATGCCAAAGAAAAATCGAAAAATTAAGTGTAACAAAACAACCGGAAACCAATTTTATTTCTTAAAATTAGCGCAATTCAACTGCAAAAAGTTTGTTTGCAAGAAATATAATTAGGTCGAATTTTATTCTTAGAACTCACATGCCATGGCTTCCATTGGTTTCAATGCTACTTTTGAAATGTCATGATTTATATATATTACCCAATGCTAACTTCACAAGACAAACAATAATAAAACCCAGAAAACAAAATTTTTCGATATATCTAGACTTTCCAACACTAATAAAATGTGGAACTCGTTAAACTTTTCAAACAAAAAGTGTTCCTTTAACCATAAACTTCTCCATACATAGCGTTAGCAACAATAAACCATTACTTTCCAAACTAGGTGCTGGTACAATCGATCTCTTCATCCCTCGTTCAGATATCCGCTGTTAACACTCCAAATAAATCGAATTAACGCAAGATGCCTCACATACGTTTCTATTTTCGGACCACTTTGGGCAAGTTTCCATCATACGTGTAACCCATCTCCTGATTCAATTGTTTACATATGTACTTCGGATTAATTGCATCTATGCTTTCACCAGAAATAAAAAATGTCATCGCTATCCTCGGAGAATTGTGGTGGTCGTCAATGTGTCGACCATGACAAAAATACAAAGAATCCGATTTAGAAAATGTGAGTAATACCTGGGCGCAAATTGTGCCAAATCATTCATTCAGAGGCTAAAGTTAGCAGTGTTTATTGCTTTCCGAACAGGTTGGATTTCATTTTCATAACACGAAATACATGCAGATTTTAAATGAATCACGGTGTATTTCGAAAATTTGACTATTGTAATTTTAGCCAAGAATTAAATTTATTTGGCACGGGTGGGGCACACTGAACTCGGAAGAGTTTTTGGTTTATTTTTGACGAGTAGAATTAATTTGCTTCGGGAAGTTTTTCAAAATCGTTTTTCATTTTATGTTTAGATGTATACACTGTGCAATATTTCAGGTGTACGTGTTGGTGTTTTTTATTTATGTTGTCTATTTATATGTTTCCTGGTGCGAAAGGTTGTGCATTGCGGATAAATTGGAAATTTTTTTGTTCGAGTTGTTTTGTAGCACGGCGATTTTCGCATTTTTCTGTCAACGTAGACATCTATCGAGAAAGATTGAAACTTGAATTCTGTGTTTTAATTTTAGTGCAAAACATGAATCATCTAGAGTTATTTTTTAAGTTTGTCGGAGATGTTTTGTACTTAGTGATTTTTATTGCGGTGCTACGACATGATCATAAATTTATAAATACGTAAAAAATATTTTCCTCAATGTGTTGTTGGCGGTGTTTTGCAAGGAGGAATTTTTAGCTCGAAAAATTTAGGGTTATTTCCAGCTTAGATTTTATTGTGGAAGTTGCACTAATCTTACTTAACAACAATTTGATGACCTCAAAATTTAGCTTGGTAAACACCAGTTAAATATTATAAAATAACTCCTATTTATTAATCCATCTTGACTTTTTACCAAATTATATAATAACATTTTATTAGCGTACTCGAAATCGCATTGAACATAGCGAAGGTCTCCGGTTCGATCTCCTCATGCGACAGTTTTTTTTCTTACACTGTGACTTTTATTTTTATTTTATATTTATATATAATCTTGCAAATTTCAATCCCTTAAAAAAATGAAGTCAAAAAAATCTAATATAACTGAAATTTGGTTTCTAGACTAATTTTGCACCGCTAAGTTCTTTACTGGTACCAGTTATTGAATATTTTCACTGTTTGAAACGAAATCTTTCTTAAACTCATACTCAAAATCCAAGTTTAAAATTTGACGGTCCATAAGTCCAGAATGGCGTAAGATTCCGGATTCCGGTTTCCACTACTCGATTTCTTGAAGTCTTTTAGTCGTATTGATTCATTTTCAAGTCAGATTCCACGTTTGTTCGAAATCGATAAACGGATTTATCGGACGATGTCGTTTTTCGGAAATGTCGAGTATTTAAAAAAATCAAAAACAAATCTGTAGGTTCCGCAGACCTCTTTTGAGTTCGGAATCTTATTCAGGAAGGTCAAATTGCTAAAGAAAGCAATTTTCAGGCAAAGCGGCATCCATTTAAACGAGATAGCTTCACAAAACTTAAATCCTGAAAATGTCACAATACGATCTCTTTGAAAAAATAAAGTCAAAAGGAAAAACTCCGACTTAACTGAAATTCGGTGTCTATATATACCACTGAGCCCGTTACTGGCATCAGTTGTTAAATATTTTCACTGTTTTAAAAGAAATTTCTCTTTAACTCATATTCAAAAACCAAATTTTAAATTTGACGATACTTAAGTCCAGAACGACATAAGATTCCGGGTTCCGGTTTTCAAGTTCGATTTCTTGAAGTTTTTTAGTCACATTGGTTGATTTTCAGGCCGGATTTTACGCTCGTTTGGAAGCGACAAAACGATTTATCGGACGATGACTTTTTGCGCATTTTACAAAATCAAAAAAAAAATTTGGAGATCCGGGAGACATCTTCTGACTTCGTATTCTTGTTTAGGAGGGTTATATTACTAAAAAGGGCAATTTTCGGGCAAATCGGCGTCCATTTAAGCAAAATAGCTTGACAAAGCTTACTTGCTGAAAGTGTAACAATACGAACCCTTAGACACAATGAAGTCAAAAGAAAAAATTCCAATCTGACTAAAATTCGATTTCCAGACCAATATTGTACGACTGGCATCAGTTGTTGATTATTTTCACTATTTAAAGCGAAATCTTTCAAACTTAAAAATCAAATTTATCTTTCTGAGATTCAGATGGGAGATGATGAATGAGTGTTGCTGAAGTCTGTAGCTCTCTTTGTTACGACATTTTGGCAGATGATACTTTTCTGATCCCATTAAAAAAAGGTTTTCAAGTTCATTTTCGTTAGTTTTTTAGTCACATTGGTTGATTTTCAGGCCGGATTCTACGTTCGTTTGGAATCGAGAAATTAATTTATCGGACGGGGTCAATTTTCGGAGGTGTGGAAGTCCCGTAAACATTTTTTGCGTTCATTTTTTTGTTCGGGAGGGTCAAATTACCAAAGAAAGGAATTTTCAGGCAAATTGGTGTCCCTGTCCATTTAAGGGAGATAGCTTAACACAGCTTAAATCCTAAAAATGTCACAATACGATCCCTTTGAAAAAATCAAGTCAAAAAAATCCGATCCGACTAAAATTCGGTTTCTAGATTAATTTTGCACCGCTGAGTTCGTTTCTGACATTAGTTGTTGAATATTTTCACTATTTTAAGCGAAATTTTTCTTTGGCTGATACTCGAAAACCACATTTAAAATTTGACGGCCTATAATTCCGAAACGGCAGAAGATTTTGGGTTCCGGTTTTCACGATTAGACTTTTTGAAGTTTCCTAGTCGCATTGGTTGATTTTTAAAGCGGTTTCTGAATTCGTTTGGAATTTATAAACGGATTTATCAGATGGTGTCATTTTTTAAAAGTGTCGAGGATTTAAAAAATTAATGAAAAATAGAGACATATTTTGAGGGTTAAATTATTTAAGAGAACAATTTTTAAGCAAATCAGGGTCCATTTAAGCGAGATAATTGAATTAAATCCTGAAAATGCCACAATATGCTCCCCTATATTCGTAGTTTATGAATCCACCTTCATCTGTATCACAATTCTTTTAAAAACTTTTTGTTTGTGCAATATTTTACATTAAACACAACTTACTAAAACGTATCTGTGGAAGACGAAGAATTATTAAATTGTAAAACAACAGTATTTAGTGTAGTTTCTAAACAGATACTACTATTACATAGAAAGTGCATTATGTGATAACAGTTAAAAGACATTAGCTAAATAACACGTAGTTATACTTACCGTATTGCACCACCACAATATTAGTAACCTAGAGTTCATTGGTTATTAACTCGCTTAACTATAACCACTACGTCCCAACAAATATTTTGTCACTGTGTACTCCCAAAACCACCTGTGAGCACTGATAGGAAAAAATAAGGAAAGGAACCCAACACAATTAAAGAAGTGCTACTGCAGAAAAGCTTTAATGTCGATTATATAACAGACACAACAAATAAATGTAATAAATAATCGAATAGGTAACAAATACAGTCAATAGCAAGACTATAACTAGACATGACCAGAAAAGTTGTATATAGGTAACGATACCAAAAAAGGGTAAGTACTCAAATACATACAAAGCATCAAATCGTATGAAAGAAACCAGTCGTGAAGCAAATTTTCACAAAACTAATCTACATTAACGCACTTATTCACATATTATATCTCTTGGGATTCGTTTTGGCAGTGTCTGAAGCGTCGTTTCGAAATGAGCATGTTAGAGTACCACCACCCTACTTAAATGTAAGCCGAACGGCGCTCACCTGGCACCTGGAGAGTCGCTGTGGTGTTGGTCGAACCCACGGAGTTGGTGGCCGTGCAACTGTAGGTCCCTGCGTCCTCTGAAAACACTGTGGGTTAGCGGAAGCGGAAAAAGGACGAGGAGTACTACCAGGGTACGCTTGCGAGATGGTCAGTCGGCACACTCCGTTGCGGTAATGAAGCTGGTAGTCGTTTGAGTTTTCGATGATTCGGCCGTTCTTCGACCATAGGATGTGTGGGGGCGGCTCTGACTGCACGATGCACTCGAATTTGGCGGGTTGGCCGCTCACGACGGCAATGTTGCGGAGGGGCTAGAAAAATATAATAAATAAAGCACCAACAGCTTTAGAAGTATTTGGACTTCCTCGAGATCTCGTAAACAAAGGTTGTTAGTAGTAAGACAGGACACTAACCGTTATGAACATAGGTGCGCGGGCTTGTGCCGCATTTTGCGAAACTTTGCCGTGGGTACTTCCCGGGGTGCTAGGGCAGCTAGGCGGAGTCTCGGCTCCCTTTCTCCCCGAGGCTGCAAACATAAAACAATAATAAATAAATGCAGACGCACAGGGACAACAAACACCAAACAACCACAAGGCCACAAATTTTAGCTAAAACCAAAAACGTATCACACTCAAAAGCAACGAAAACTCCTTCAACGCTAGCGAAAGCCGTTCAAACCTGTCCAAGCCAAGCCAAACCGGCACACCAAGTACCTGCAAGTGCACTATTAAAAGCCGGAGATGTACTAGGTAAACTAGGTGATAGAGATACAGGGCTACAAGAAGACTGGTCCCATCTCGAACCTTGCAAGGTAGCACCACGCTTCCTATTTTCGCCTTCGTACTCTGACATCTCGCTTTCGGAGGTCGGTTCCCACTTGACATTTTTACTGGAAGGAGTAAACTTCTTCGGGCGGAATTGAGGAGTCGAATCTTTCTTAGAACTTTCGTGATACACCGGCATTTCAATATCACCAGTGCGTTTCGGAGGCTCGATTATGGTCTTTTTAGGGACCGGGATCTCCCCTTGCTTGCTTTCACCGGGAAGAATAATACCGAACTCGTAACCAAAATCGTACTTGAAATAGATGAGGCCTGTATCGGGATCTACGTGTTTCGTACCTGGAGGTGTTAACAGTTAGAAACCCTCACACCTTCTAATTACTAGAACTGTTTTTGACTACTCACCGTATTGAGCTGCTCTGGTTTCTTCCCGATACACTTGAGCGTCACCGTCTTCCACTTTCACAACAGGTTTCGGCTGGGGTTGCTTATTGACGTCACCCATTATGTCTCTGGCGAACTTTTGGGTCGTCGATTTGAACGCATGGGTCATGCTATCCATATGGTGCGAGGCCATTTTCGTTGCTTGAGCTTTCGTAATTTTATTATCGGCGATAAATCCATACTCTGGAGGACTTCCCGGATGCAAATCGTGCCTAACTGGAGGCTCGAAAGACCTACTCCTAGTCACAACCTTCCCTGATTTACTCTCCGTAAATCTCTTGTAACTGCTTTCGTGTCTCTTGTGTACTTCGCCGTCTGTCACATCAGTGGTTGTAACAGTAGACGGCATCAAAGGCGGCTGATCAAATTCCAAAGGCGACAAAACCCGCTCTTGTCGGCTCGGTAGACTTAAAGAACGATGAGAAGCAGGTGGTGCCTTCACCGGCCTGTAATGATACCCTTCTGAGTCGCTACCACTCGGAGCCCACTTGGGTTTAATCCGAGCACTTTCAACTTCACTCTCATAATCGCTTTCTCGGAATTCTCCCGGAACGAACTTCGTAGGTTTGGGAGGAGGAGGACCCCGACTACGCCTCTGTCGTTCAGGCTCCGCCTTAAACGGAAACGGCTCCAACTTAGACTCCTCCCTCCTTTGATCCCCAAATTTAATCACCTTGGTGGTCTGCTGCAGACTCACCGTTCTCCTACAATTCTCACTAGCTTCGTTAAAATGTACGACGTTGGAAGTCTCCGTTTGAATCGCATTGTGATAAGGAGCACTCGTTATCGACCTATAGTACTGCGTTTTTTGAGGCGGAACGTACCCCATTTCGGGGGGTGTTCCCGGCTGTATTAGCACCACCTCTTTTCGGACAGCGGGCGTGGCCACAATAGTCTCTGCCGGTAATGGTCTGGGCTTGACTGGCTGAGGGGCGGGCTTGATGATCTCTTCAAGTTTAACGCTAGGCTTGACTTTATCGATTGGTTCGAATTTGGGGCGAGGCGGGCCTTCGATATGAGGCGGCTTATCGAACTCGGTGGGGGGAGTCGGGGTACGACCCGACTGCTGTGAGTGTCGGCCACTGGGTGTTAAAAGGGGTCGAACGGGTCTATAAGCCGGTGCGCCGTCTTGGTCTGTGGGACGCCATACTGGTGGGATGCGTCCTTCATAGTCGCTTTCGTAATCACTCTCGCGAAATTCGCCTTTGACGAATTTCGAAGGACTAGGTGGTGGAGGACCGTGCGGTTTCTTGGAGCGTGGAGGTTCGGGTTTGTAGGGGAATGGCTCGAGTTTGGTGTGTTTTTCTTGTTGTTCGATATGTTGTTCGGAGGAGACGCTGGTGATGATGGGTGTGGCCACCAGTTCCTTTAAAAAACATTTTTTTATTTAACTGATTTTTGTTATAACGCTCTAAAAGTATATTTAAACAAAAAAAGTATCTTATCATATAAAACAAAAAAAAAAATGTGCGCATGCAATCTTGGATATTATTGCTGATGCTTGTTAAAACCACAAAAGAAATAAAGAGTCACAAATTAGTGGGGTCCCAATTAAAAAGCAGTACGTATAACACAACCGAACCTTCTTTGCCGAAGACACCGACGACGTGACGTGTTTCTTATGTTGGGAAATTCTAGGAGTGTGGGTTTTGGGAACAATGACCTTTTGTTGGGAGCTTTCCAAAATTCTTTCACTGCTCTGTGAAGTATGTTTATATTCCGATCTTTCCTCGTGCTTGTATTCCGTCTTAACAGATTTCTTCTGTTGAAAGAACGGTTCGTCTGTATCTGCCATATACCCATCGACACTCAGCTTGTGTTTAATTTTCGGCGACTCAGGTTTAGTTTTCTTCTCGGGAGCTGGCGCTTCCGCAAAAACCGGTGGCGATCCAGGTTTAATTTCCAGTGGCGGAGGAACTTCCTTCTTAACCTCGTGACTCCTTGTATAGTGTTTAGTGGTTTTTTTCACTTGTTGCACGGTCTCTTTCTTCCGTCTTGCCGCTTCCAGATTAATATCGGGCCTTGGAGGTCCTTGGAATTGCGGCGGGTGGTCAAATTTGGAAGGAGGAAGCGGTTCGGGTTCAGCTGATCGTGATCTGCTGCTTGCTACAAACTTTGGGGCTCTTACTTTCCGGTAGCTAGGCTCTTCGGTGTCACTGGCTGATGGCTTCCACTTTGGATGTATTCGGACTGCTTCAAAGTCGCTCTCATAATCGCTATCGGTAAATTTTCCTTTAATAAACTTGGACGGTGTTGGAGGAGGGCCGACTTTAGGTGGCTTAGGTTTTGCGGGTTCTGCCACAAAAGGGAAAGGTTCCAAGTCGGGGAATCGTTCGAAAGGTTTCGACGGTATTACAGGTGTGACTGCTTTGACAGGTTTAGCAGGTATTGGAGGCGCTTTTGGTTGCTCCTTTTTTGGCGGGAGAGGTGGCGGAATCGTCCGAACAGCACCAGGAGGAACTTTGGCTGGAATCCTCTCTAAATTCTTCTCTAAATCCTGCTCCATCATCTCCACGTAAGACTGACTTCGCTCGCGGGGAGGAGGTTGCGCGAAAGCTATTTCCGGCGGTGGACCTGGCTCCAAATACACTTCATCTGTAATATCTTGTACAGAAACCGGTCTAATCGGAATCAGGGTTTCGATACTCGGAACTGGCTGAATAGGAGGTGGAGGTACCCACGTTTTGATAACCTCAGACGGCCTCACATTCCTCTCTTCAGTGACTTCGCGTTTTTCCGTGGTCGTTTGATACTGAGACTGTACGAAAGAGCTATGTTGAACGTCCGTTACCTTACCGATGTAATGAGTAACCACAGGAGGCGGCGCTTCCGTTACGATTTCAGTCTTTTTGATAATTTGCTGAAAAGGGGTCTTTTCAATAACCGTCTTTGTTTCTTTGGTGACGTGCTCCGTTTTTTTCACTTCGGGAGTCCACTTTTTTTCGAGAGTGCTTTGCACTGACCATGATGGTTGAACTTTGGGTTCTTCTGGTTGTGGCGGAGGCCACGCTTTTTCTACCTGTGTTTCGGAAAATTTATGTGCCCAGGCTTTTTCCATCTGAAGAGCGTGAGGTGAGGGCTCGACACCTTTCACTTCGGTTTCTACGTGGCGGCTGAAACTCGACGAAGTCGAAGATTGGTAGGATTTTTCAATTTTCTCGGAAAAACTTTGCTGGGGTTTTTCTTCAATCACTTTCACTCTTTCTTGGACTTTGGAAATTGGTGGGTGGGATGGGTATATGATTTCTGCTGGTGGTTCCGGTGTGAGACTGATCTCTTCACGAGTGAATGATTTGTATTGTTGTACAATAGGTTCAGGGGCTTTAATTTCGTGTGTAAATGACTTGAATTCTTGGACGAGTGGTTCAGGTTTGGTTTCGATTTTTATGGGGATTGGAGTTTCTGTTTTTGATACTTCTTCAAATTTTTTGTAAACTTCAGATTTGATTGGCGTCGGAACAGAAATCTCCTTTGGGGGGACGGGAGCAGGTTCTTCCCCTTCTTTAATTTTTTTAACAAAATACTGAAGAGACGATTGTTTGGAAATGGAACTAGTTTCAATTCCAGTCTCTTGAGTCTCTACTTTTTTTTCTTCGAATATCTGACTTGACGGTTGGCAGATCTCAAACTCCGTCTCTCGCCTGAACTGCGGAGATGGCGTTCTTATAATCGGTTGGGGCATAGGTATTTCTGGCACAGTGTGCTCTAATTTGATGGTTTTCGACTCTTTAGAAATCTCCTGTTTGGTCATTGAGGTAAATTCGGATTTAGAGGACACCTGGGGAGGTTCTGTAATAATTTTAGGTACTTCGATAGGTTTGGGTGACGTAGAAACTGTAGAAGTCACTTTATCAGCAGCTGACGTCTACGTGTACAGAAAAAAGATGAAATAAACGAGAGTTCCACCTTCACCAAAATAATTAAAAATAAAAACACAAAACTCACCAAAGTTTCGTGCTTTCTCACATCTTCAAACACCACGGTTTTAACTACTTCTACCATAGTATCAGGTGTTGGTTCGAACACAGCTATGTCGGCAATACTCTGAGCTTCACCTCCGGAGTTCACAGCTCTCACCATGTACCGTCCAGTCATGTTCATCTCAGCTAATTGAAAAACAAAATACAGTGATATAATAGCACTAAAAACAAGCTTACCTTTTTCGATGACCAATGTGTGTGAATTTCCTAGCGACCTAACTCTGCCTTTGTCTCCAAGAGCTTCACCGATAGGTATGCCGTCTTTGTACCACGTAACCGTCGGGTCTGGAGTACCTGTAACCTCTACTTCCATAATTACGCGATCACCCTTTTTGATGACCTGTGCTTGAAGGCGGCGCCCAAAAACTGGAGGGAAGATGGTTTCTGCAACCACTCAATCACTAACCATTCAACACCCAAATATGAACTTACTTCTTACTACTAAATCCGCGGTACTAATAGCTTTACCCGCTTCGTTCACAGCAGTGCAAGTATATCTTCCAGCGTCGTCAATACTTGCACTTTTAATGATTATGGTAGCCTTATTCCGGTCAAGAATTATTGTCAAACCTGGACCTTGGCGAAGTTCTTCGCCGTTTTTAGTCCAAGTGACTTCAGGAGTGGGTTGTCCATCTATGATACCCTCTAGAACAACATCTACGTTTTGGTCCACGATTTTACCCATAACGGGTGTGACGAATTTCGGTGGTCTTGCTCTTATCACAGGTTTTTGTATCACATGTTCGATTGTTTTCTGTTTGGTTTCTTCCAAGCTACCAGAAGTGAACAGCGAAGATGATTTCTCGATGATCGTAGGTGCTTGCTTTCCCACTTGGTGGAACTCTTCGATTTTGTGGGACTCGCTGATTTGAGGTGCTTGTTGATTGATTTGTTTGAAAGTTTGTTGATCCTGAGAAGAAAAACTGTGAACTTGGACTTGTGGTTCTTGAATTCCAGTTGATGTGGTGATTTTTCGTGCAGTGGAAGTTGACGATTGAGTGTGGACTTCCCGATTTACCATGTAGGATGATTCAACGTGCTGAGTAATGTCACGGCCAAATTCAGGGAGGGTAATGGCTGAAACGCTCTGGACAGACAAAGTGGAGGCACAGCTAGCTTTACCCGCTTCGTTTTCGGCAACGCAGGTGATGGTACCTTCTAGATCTTTGCTGACTTCCGGTATTGTGAGCACCTGACGATCTCCGGAAGTGGAAATTAGTATTTTCTTGCCAGAAATGGGTTCGCCGTTGAACAACCACTTTACTTTAGGAGTGGGTTTTCCAACTACGATACACTCAAATTTAGTCGAGGTTCCGTCAAAAGCGACGCGGTCATTGAACATTTCTTTAAACACAGGTGCGGACTTGACTTCTTCGTGTTTGATGATCTCGGGAGGCTTCATGGATTTGACAATGAGTTGAGAAAAGCATTTAGCATCTCCCGAAGAGTTAGTAGCCTTTACGGTGTAAACACCTTTATCTTCGGGACGTACTGCATCTATTTCAAGCCTAATAGTACCATCTGTATCATGGACGATTTTGATATGGTCGGAAGCGGTAATTGGCTGGTTGTTGAGTAACCATTTGACCTCCGGCCTTGGTTCTCCTGTAACGATACCTTCAAAGGTCACTTTTTCCCCTTCTGATACCAACACATCTGAGAGCAGTTTTGTAAATTTAGGAGGTGTTCCTGGGGGTTCTTCGGGCTCTGGTGGTTTGGTGACCGCTTCTGGAGTCACCATCAGGGAGCACTTGCTTGAAGCTTCACCAGCTGAGTTGAGAGCTACCACTTTGTACACTCCTGCGTCTTCGGAGAGAGCTTCTTGAATAACCAGAGAGCAGCGATCTCCTTGGAAGAGTAACTGGAAGTCTGGGGACTCTTTCACTGGGCGATCGTCGTGGTACCAAATGACTTCCGGTTCCGGCTGGCCTACGATAACGCAGTCTAAGCGCACTCGGTTGCCTTCGGTAACCGTAACATTCGTTAACGGTAACTGGATAGACGGTTTGACAGGTTCCATATCACTAGCCAATTCTGAGTCGGATGTTTCCGTGGGAAGTCGTCCTTTGACCGATACACTGCACGCACTGGAGGCTTCACCTGCTATGTTCTTCGCGTTGACTATATACGTGCCGGCATCCTTCGGGAAAGCTTCAAACACTAATAACGTGGCCTTATTCCCCTCAAACTGCAACTAAAATGAAATTATATTTAGAGGAGTTGCAGCTGCGTCCGGGTCATGTACGATTCGCGGGGAGGGTAAACACCATCCGACGAAATTGCATTCTCTTCGACAAAAATGTGAGAGTCTCAGTAATTCGGAACTGTGCCAAGACGGAAAAAAGCAAAACCCACGTGTTTGTCGGTAAAAATAATGCGTTTACCGTGCGTAACTGCATTACTCATCGAAAGTCGATTACACAGGCGTAAAATCGAAATTGGAAATTAATAGTTAGTAAGGAAATGATTGCCGCTTACCTTCAGCTCGCGCGTTTCCTTTACAGCCTTGCCGTTGTGTGACCAAGTCAGGATTGGTGGGGGCAATCCAGAAACTTCACATTCCAATTTTATTTTCTGTCCGGCCCTCGCCATCACGTTGGACAGAGGCAAGATAAACTTGGGTGCTTCGATGGGCTCCAGAGCTGTATACATAAATTCGGTCGTGTTGTGAAATTGATCTAATTCAGATTAAGTGGGTTCGATGTATTTTTAATTTTTTCCTATTATTTAGAGAGCCCTCGTTCGTTTGTCAACAAGTCTCGATCTGCTGTTCGTTTTTCTTTTAAAAGCAATAAGGAAAAGTGTGGGATTAAACTGTTTATTCACATACAAGAAATATTTTTACAACACAACATGTAAAAATAGTACATTCTGGCAATTATTTCCGCAGTTTCATTCCAACGCAACGAACTACGTGAGATGATATCTAGTGTGATTTGTCGCGCTTGCAAAATTCAGAAACGAAAACGAAGGATACTTGCCAAGGTGCAATAAACTACGCCTTTGAACAGATCAAATTTAATCTCCTCTATCTAAACTTATTATTTTCTTTGCCAATAGTAAACAAAAATAAATAAATAAAAATCTGTAACCAAACCAATATAAAAAATCTATTTATAGAAAAGAAAAATGCTTACAATTAAATGCGGTTTATATTATTAGCTTTGGCATCATTTTTAGTTAAATCTTCTATTATTAGTTTCTTTTTGATCGTGCCTTTTTTATTAGGTCGAAGGTCCAGACATTATCGTCACCACAACTGTATTACCTCCTTATTTAAAAATTTTTGATCAACACGAGAAAATTTAAAATCATTCTTCAACTTGCCGCTCTATATAATTCGCATAGCACGGTGAGTATTATTACGAACCACAGAAGCAACGAAAAAGAAACGTAATCGGACTTACGTGTTACTGAAAGACTGGCAGTGCTCTGCGCGATCCCCAGTTGATTGGATGCCTTACAGGTATATTCCGCCTTGTCTTCTAAGTAAACTTTCTCAAACTTCAAAATGGCTTCCCCATTGTTATACGTGATGACGTAGTCCGGTGAGTTATCGATACAATCATAATTTTTAAACCACTGCACGGTAGGTAAAGGATTTCCTTCCACCTTGCAATGAAACTGAAAACTCGCCCCTTCACGCGCGTTTCCTGGCTCCAACAACTTCACGAAACTAGGAGGAGACAATTGTTCTTCAGGTTCCGTTTCTTTCACAGACAAACACGCATTCGTTTCTGCCGCACCCGCTGCATTGATTGCTTTACAAGTATACATTGCTGAGTCTTCGGCAAAAGTTTCTTCGATGGTCAACGTACACAAACCTTGGTCGAACGTGGTTTGATAATCGGGATTGTTTTGGATAGATATACCATCCTTGAACCATGTGACCACAGGAACAGGGCTTCCCGTTACTTGACAGATGAAAGTAAATCGGGAACCTTCTTGGATAATAGCGTCACTGAGAGGTGACGTGAAGACCGGAGCTTCTAGCTTTTCAGGAGGTTTTTGTTGAACGAGTATTTGGTGCACGCGAGTCACTTCGCTGGTTTGAATCCTTTGTGCTTCTAAGGCTCTAATTCTAGCTTCTTCTTCCGCTCGGAGTCTAGCTTCTTCCGCAGCTCTGGCCCGTGCTTCTTCTTCGGCCTTTCGTCGGGCTTCTTCGGCTGCTGTTGCTCTAGCTTCCTCCTCAGCTCGTCGTCGGGCCTCTTCTTCGGCTTTGCGTCTGGCTTCTTCCTCAGCTCTGAGTCTCGCTTCTTCTTCAGCTTTGAGCCTCGCTTCTAATTCTGCTTTTCGCCTAGCCTCTTCTACCGCTCTGAGTCTCGCTTCTTCTTCAGCTTTGAGTCTCGCTTCTTCTGCTCTTCTCCTAGCCTCTTCCTCAGCTCTGAGTCTCGCCTCTTCTTCAGCTTTGCGTCTTGCTTCTAATTCTGCTAATCGCCTAGCTTCTGCCTCAGCTCTAAGTCTCGCTTCTTCTTCAGCTTTGCGTCTAGCTTCTTCTGCTCTTCGTCTAGCCTCTTCCTCAGCTCTGAGTCGGGCTTCTTCTTCAGCCTTTCGTCTAGCTTCTTCGGCAGCTCTGAGTCTAGCTTCTTCCTCAGCTTTACGCCTTGCTTCTTCGGCAGCTCTAGCGCGAGCTTCTTCCTCAGCTTTACGTCTTGCTTCTTCGGCAGCTCTAGCGCGAGCTTCTTCCTCAGCTTTACGTCTTGCTTCTTCCTCAGCTATACGTCTTGCTTCTTCCTCAGCTTTACGTCTTGCTTCTTCCTCAGCTCTGCGTCTGGCCTCTTCTTCGGCTTTACGTTTGGCTTCAGCTTCAGCGATTCGCCTAGCCTCTTCTTCAGCTTTTCTTCTGGCTTCTTCTTCCGCCGCTTTTCTCCTAGCTTCTTCTTCAGCACGTCGTCTGGCTTCTTCTTCGGCTTTGCGTCGTGCCTCTTCTTCGGCTTTACGTCTAGCCTCTTCCTCTGCCCGTCTTCGGGCCTCCTCTTCCGCTCTAAGTCTAGCTTCTTCAATTTCTCGTAGTCTTTGTTCTTCAGCTAGCCTCAAATTCTCAGCTAATTGATTAATTTCGTTACTAATGCTGGTAAACGACTCGAGCATGCCTCTGTTTTCTTGTAGGACTTGATCAATTTGCGAGGTTTGCTGTGGGCCGAAGATTCTAGTCGCAAGTTCTGTTATTTTACGGATTCTTTCGTTCTGTTTTTGTTCTCCCGGTTTAAGGAAAACTTCAATTTCGTTTAGCAGTTCTTGGGCTTCTTGTGGTTTTTTAACGAGATTTGATTTTCGGGCAATGGTGATTAAAAGGCGGCTGCCCTCACGGAACCATTCGTTAGCCTACAAAATAAATATACAAAATTCATTATTTTCGCTACGCTATATTTACCTCCTCAACCAGTTCGAAGAACTGAATACTAAGGTCGATCAAATTTCTTGTTTCTTGTACTTGTTTCTTGAATGTATTCCATCGATCTTGCAACTGGGAAATTTGCTTTTGAATGTGCGGAGACTGAGCGTGGCGTTCGGCCAACAATTTCTCACCAGTGTTCAAGAAGGTTTGGATTCGTTGTTGCAGCATCTACAAGAAAAAAGTAAAAAGGGAACAATAAGACCGAAATAATCTTACGTCTACGGTTTTCTCAAAGTAAACGAACGCTTGGGAGGTGGCTTTTGCGGCGGCTAGAGATTCTCCGTATTTGCCCTTCATGTCGTCCAACTGATTGCTGAGGTCATCTAGAGTATCATTGATTTGATGCAAATCTGTATCAAATTGACATAATTGTCTTTGGGCTTCCAAAGAATCTCGTCGTTGGCGCCACTGGTTTTCCCAGTTGTCTCTCTTCAGTTCTAAGATGTGTTGGAGCTTCTGGATGTCGCTATCGGCAGGTTGGGGCGGTTCCTTAAATGTAAAATATTTCGTATACCTCATTGAAGCAAAAATAATTCACAAACCTGTTTGGTGATCCTGTGAACGAGGTTCTCGCATTCATTTCTGGCCCTGTTGAAGATTTGCAGTACGGTTTGTTTGGAAGCTTCATGGTCCCTGATAAGAGACTCAACCCCACTCAGATCGTTCACAACTCTAGTTGTTTGATTATTGAAATCTTCAACTTTCCTATCCAAGTCGACCAAGTTTTTGAAATAAGAAATTAACATCTCCAGGAGTATTTGATACTCGTTGCCAATATCGGACAACCGCCTGTGCAATTCCGATAGTTTATTCTTAACGCTGATGGTCTTCTCATCGCCGCTCTGCGCCCTGGCTATAAGACCTTCAGCTGTTTTTAACCTCTGCTCCACTTCATTCTGTGCTCGCCTAATGTCTGGCAGCACTTTTTCTAATTTAGCACACAAATGTGTCACTATTTCTTTCGGATTCGTCGAATTCGTCGTTATTACCGGATATAATTGTTCGTCGAGTTTCGTCACCCAGTTTATAGTCTGGAAATAAGAGGAAAACAGAGATGGAATGAGTTCTTGCAGCTACCCTCGCTCTATTTTAGAACAAGTGCCTAATAATAAAACGTGTCGTGATGGAGGGATAGTGTGGCTGGATTGCGGTTAGGAATGACGGGAAGAGGGTTCTTTGAGGTTTCGGTAAGTTTTCTTTGAACGTCGTAAAGAAAGTTTTAGGTGGGACGGCCTGGGTGGCTGAAAATTTGCGGGAAAACCGACAGTTTAATCTGGATTGGATTTACGTCTTAGTTGCATTTTATTACTGTTTTATTGTTTGTTATTTTGGGACTTTATGTCCGCTGATTAAACAATTAAAACTGATTTAAGACCGCAAATGTTCGAAATGTCGCAATGAAAATAATCGTCTGCAAGGATTTCATGACTTCAAGTTGGCAAAAAAGTGTTCTTGAGAAACATGTTTTAGAGTAGTTAAAAGAGCAACTAACTTACAGTTTAGCAAATCGCCACAGCAACTTATTGAATACCTACTAAATATAACTTTTGTGATCTCATTGAAAGTATTTTCTCATGTCGTGGTGATCAAGTTTCGGTTCTATTTTAACAATATTGTTTAACTTCTGTTATTTTACTTGGACTTAAATTTTTGTTAAATATTATGGTACTTCTTTACAAATACCAATGCTGCTAATTGTTATAGCAATAGCAAATAAAAAATCATAGAAGAAATTTTTCGATTACAAACTAGATTTAAGAAATATCAGGAAATATCACACTGAAAAAACAATTCAATAAAAATCATTGATCTGGCGCGGAGTGCGGGGAAATTGGGTGAACGATCAAACAATTGGACACAAGACACAGAGGGAAATTGGCGACCTACTTTTTCGTATTCTAAGAGTCATGAAACGTCGAGAAAACATGAAAGTAGTGAGTAGTAAAAGCCAGGTTTGATGACATCTGAAATAGTATGCCCAAACAAAGTCTATCTTCCTAAGTTACTGTTTTTAAATACACAGTTAACACGTTTTCCTTTAAAACCAGAAGAACTTATATTTATACCGAGCGTAAACCAAGGAAGTACTGTAATAGAATCCATCCGCCGAACGGCTAACTTCATGTTTTCTACATGTTTCGTGACCTAGAGTACGAAAAAATGGGTTGCCGTTTCCGTCTGTCCGTCGTCTGTGTCAATTTTCATTAGACAGGTACTGTTCGAAACTACCGGACCGATATTTGTCAAATTTTAGATATAGGTACGTTAGTAACATCGTGCAGATGGTAAAACGTAGACTAAAATTTATCTAACCCTACCCACAAACAAGTTGACGACGTGATCTCAAAATTTTATGTGGTAAATACTGCTAAATCATAAAAAATAACATACTCTATATTTGTGGATTATGAATCCACCTTGGTTTTTGTCATAATTATTTTACAGAAATTTGTATGCAATATTGTGCCTCTACTTTTTATTAGGAAGATATTGACAAGGAAACGATGTCTATTCAAAACACAAATCATTATTTGGCCGCTAAAACTACCCCGAAATTTTAATTTTTACTAAATTATAAAAGCGAAATTCAACTTGAATATAACAAATAATTTGAAAACAAAACTAAAATGTTTAAAGAAATAAAAAGCCAAAATTAAAACATTGTAGGAGACTATGCTATAAAGAATAGTTACTAAGCTTGGGTTTTTTTTCAAACACACGTTTTATGAAGAAATATATTCCAAAAAATGTTTAATTAATTAATTAATTAATTAGTCTCCTCTGCGTTGAAGAGACAAAATCTATCAAATTTCATTTTCTATTAACACAAATCCCGCAGATGATGTTTCTTATCTGAATGCACCAATATTCGAATTTTTTCGAAGTATGAACATAAACACTCCAAGTTAAGCATGTACTGAGAAGCTGACAATGGATTTTTTCCCGTTGGTTATCTGTTTTAAATATATTTCACATTTTACTTCAAGAGCGAGGGACGTGGAAATAACCGTCGAAAAATTTTTTCGGAAGAAAAATACTTTGGTTTCATATTCTGGAAGACAAATACACTGAATTTTTAAGTACTTTCTTGTGGATTTCTGAATCGGCTGAATATCGCTGTGACGTCACGTGCATATTTCGAGTCACTTTAAATATTAATTTTGAAAGAATAAATAACCGAAAGCTGAGAAATTTTTCTAATTTTGTTTTTTTTTATATATATAAAAACTTCAAATTCTGGCCTATCTAAATGAATAAAATAAGTAAAAGAAAATTTCACGCTGTTTAATATCAGATGTAGTTGAAATATCGCGAAAAATAGTGTTATTAAATACAGAAAATAAATAACCGCAAATTTTTATTAGATGTTTTTTTATGTTGCAAGTCTGTTTACTCAAGCATATTTTCCTTCTAAATTTACGGTGTTTATTTTTTTAAATCTTTTGTTACGCGTATGCCTGTATTTAAATATAGCCTACATATTACTAATTTATACAGTTAGGTAGTTCAAAATTAATTCGAGTTAACATGCTATTCTTGTCAGCACATGTTGAAAATGTAAAACTAGAATGTAAGTATAAACAAGCATTAGACTTGAGCGATTAAATGACGTTTCCATAAATAAAAGAAAAATATTAATTTTTCGAAGCTTCTACCGAAATTATGGCTGCGTAGTAACATAATCACCGTACTTTTTAAAAATTTAAACCGCACTCAATACAATTTTACACGATTTTCTTTCTAGAATACAATTACGAAAGTGCAATTCTCATTACCCTAAAAGACATCCAACAGAACATAATTTTGTCCATGATGTATAGTACCACTAATTACAAATTTCTCCAACAATTTAATCATCACCTAGTTTCTCACAACACGAGAAAATCACATCTCGTCACACAAAACGAGACAAATCATGTAAATTTACCCACTGGCTCAGCTTCTGCCCAACCCAACAATAAATTGTTTGGAAATAAATGTTTCGCCGCACGGATCACAGTTATATTTAGGGCACCAATTTTTAATCACGATCACGCAAAACGGAAATCATCAACGAAAATATACCATGGAAGATCAACAGAGAAAGAAACTCAAAACACTGACCTTGGTACTCTCAGCCATGGTTTGCTCCAGCCTGACCAGCACTTCCCTCTTCTCCACGACTTCGGCATGGAAGGTCTGCCAATTTCTGGTCACAAGTAGCTGTCGTCCCGACAGCCGTTCCAGCACGGACTCCACGCACAGACAAGCACGTTTCGTGTCGAGATACGGTTCAGATACCTACAAGATAAATTTAGCATAAGAAAAACCGCCACAACGGCTCTTTCCTGCTCGCTGGAAAGCGCGTGCATCAGATGGTCGATGGCTAATTGCACGGTACCACTGCTCATTACGGCCGTGTATGAAGAGGTACCGTGTTGATGGAAGATAAGAGCGGGATTGTTACGGAGGAATTAGCTGTGAACGGTCGGACGAGGTGCTTCTAGGAGGCTTAATTGGAAGTGGTTGGAAGTAATTAGAGGGTTATTAGAGGAATGAAATCTGTTTTGGGTTTAAAGACCAAAACTTACGAGGAGACGGTTAAGGTAATTGGAACAACTGATTTAAATGAATAATGAGATAAAATGAGGACACGAAAGGACCATAATAATTTTATCAGATGATGCTCATTTTGCCATAAATGCAATAATTACAGTTTTACTACACTTTAATGTGTTCCTATTATACCGGGTGATTCACAAGTAATGATCGTAACCGAGATGAAGATACATTTTCCGAGGTTTCATACATTTATTTCTAAATTTATCAAAAACATTAAACATATTATATAGTATATAGTCATTTAAAAGGCTCTAAGTTGTGCCTATTGACTTGTGCCATCCTGCACTCATTTGACCTAGCACCCCAATTACTTTCTATGGACAGGTCCTTGACTTGCCCTAAAACCCCCGTGGTTTTCTGTCGACCAATTTGACCTGTATTAGGACCGTTATCATTTTTTGTTGCCTATTTGGCCTGTCTTAGGACCTCCATCTTTTTTTGTCAACCAAATTGAGTTGTCTTAGGACCCTCATCATTTTTTGTAGATCAATTTGACCTGTCTTAGGACCCCCATGACTTTTGTCGGCCAGTTTGACTTGTCCTCAGTACCGGTATCATTTTTTTGACGACCAATTTGAGGGTCTTAGAATCCCCATCACTTTTTGTGGATCATTCAACTCAAGTTTCATCAGATGTGCCTCCGGGCTCCGGTATCGGCCCAATTTTCTTTATTTTATATGTTAGTGATGCCGTAAATATTATAAAGAATTGAATCTTTGAAGCTTCATTCTTCATTCCATTAAAAATTGTTTGGTGTGTTTTAAATAACCTTGACTTGGACGAATATTGTTACATGCAAGATCTGGGATTTTATAACGTAAGAATTATTAGCTGTTTTAATTATTTTAGTTGCAATAATAATTTAGAAAATATATAGATCTACGAATCCTTTGGAAATTGTATTCTGGGTTGCATTTCATATTCTGTCGGACTTATTATTACTCGGACTCACATAGCCCAAAATGTATTTTTCACACCTTAAAAGTTTTTGACAGAAAAATTGACAAGAATTCAGATTAAAAACAGGCTTTCGGCAAAATTTTAGTACTTTAAATAATTTCTCTCTTCTCATTTTGTCTTTTGGTCCAGTGCAGCCTAAAACAGGCTGAGCTATACGTGTGACGTCATACAAACATCCGACCTACTATAGAAATCTAAACTTTAAATGTGCGAATTTTGAATTCAATTATCATTCAAATATAAATACTAAAACCAAGTATGTCACTTGTCAAAATCTGTCATATCTTAGCAAGTACTAACCCCGCCCACCCACCCACGCTCTTCTTATTCTAAGGACTAATTTTACCTCTGTTCATTATGGATCCACTTTCTAGCAGACCAGATAAAATAAATCACTGAAAAGGCGGTGGGGTGGGTGGGCCTGGTTAATTATATTTTCTTCTGTAGAATGACAGTGGGGCTGTTAAAAATCAAGAAAAAAGGCTAACCGTATTTTTTTTGTTATACTATTTATTTTAAGATTCATTTCTAATTTGAAAAGAAAAAATGAGAGAACGGGTGGGTGGGCGGGGCTAAGTTTGATTTTTTTCTGTAAAGTCTTTTATAAGCAAGCAATAGCCCCGACCATCGGCGCCTACTCTCCATTCTAGTGACTACCCTTAATATGGTTTATTTAAGATATATTTAATTTATTAAAAAAATATCAAAAATTGCGAAATGGGCCAAGATTAAAAATGAAAATTTTTAGAATCGTTACACTGTACTTTAGAAGCTTCTTTTGGATTTTTGATAGTATTTACTTACATTAATTTTTTTTTTTTGTCGAACCTTTGAAAAAAGCATAAAATTGAATCACTGACCTAGCAATAACAACGCCGCCAAACCGCATTTGAAATATAAAAAAAGATTCCATAACGTAGGCAACCACGCGGCTTTGGGTAAGAGGATTGGAATGCAGGACAACGCAGGTAATTTTTAAGAAGTGTTTCTTGGCCAATTCTTGCTTAGTGAGTGCAATGTAAAGATGTGTTAAAAATAAGGATATGTAAAATTTAGTTTGTAATTTCACAAAGAGGTAACTGTTTACACTAAATGAATCGCATTCGATGCCACAGTCCTCAACAAGTAGAATTAATGTAATATCAGTTTATTAGCGATTTTCTATTCTGAAATATATACAATTTTGACTATATATAATTAGTTTCTGTAACAGGAACGCTTGCTGTACTACTTTGAGGATAACTCAATCAAAAACAAACTTTCTACGAAGAATTTTAATTCATTTTGTGAAAAAAATTACAATTCTTTAAGATTCACAGTCAGGTGATCCTAAATTAAAAATTTTAATATTCAAATTTTATAAAAAAAATACAAAATTCATTCTAACATTTCGTAAGATCCATTAAAAAATAATAAAGAAGTGTAGGTAGCACACAAGGGGAGATTCTTCTCACTCGAGATTTAGAATAGTTTAGTATGCCATTTAAAGTAATCTATTTTGAAAGAAAGGACCTTGGAAATTATCATCCGTCAAATTAACAACATCGAGGGAATGTGGGGTTTAACTTGTGTTTTTTTGGGATGTTATTATTTGTTATTTGTATCATTTTTCGAAAAGCTGAATGTTGAGATTTTATTGCTGAGACTTGATGAACTTCATCATATGAATGTTTATCTGCAATACCGGATTTCCAAATCTAGTGAATCAGGCTGCCTAGTTGGCTGGGTCTTCTGCGGAAATGCACGTAAACCTCAGGAATGCGAATGGTTAAAATCCATAACGCGTGTTGTGGGTGTAATTAGGGCAAATAAATGCTCACGAGGAGTGGGTTTAACAGCTGGTTTCCAGATTTACCCTCTCCAGAATGGAGGAATAAACGATTTCCCTCCATATTTTGGATTTTTCGCGAGTTTTATAATTTTGTTCACACAGAAGTAACTGTGGCGGGATGTTTTTGGGTCACCAGAATCTGGACAAGAGATTGATTGTATTTGTACATAACGTAAATTAAATTTTACAATTTTTAACATATGTATGACAATACGGCGAATCAACGTCTGCACAGATCACTTTCTTCATGAAATCTAAATTTAATTTTTTTTTCGTTAAACTAAACTTTTTTAAGAAAAGTTCAATATATGTAGTTCTATAGTATGTAAGAAATTTTCGGAATGTTGATTCTATAATAATCCATTTGTAAAAGAAATTATTATTATTATTTTAGTTAACGACATGTATATAAATCAGATTTGTACAGACAGTTTTTTTTTCCAAATTACTAATTAAAACCTTGGCTACTAGAAGTGTTCTTTATCAATGAGTATTCAGAAATTGAAAAATTTTGTAGTTGTAGTTGGGAACAAAAACTGAGAGAACACAATGACTTCGTTCAGATCGCGGAACAGAATACATTAACCGTATCTTCGCAGAATTTTTGCAAAAAAATGGTTCTCCGAAAATAATTGCTGTCAATTATAATCCTCTATAAAATGCAGTTAGTAAATGGAAAAAAGGCACTCTAGTTGACATGGCACGTTTCGGGTAATTCAAGCGAATCTACATCGTCATTTTAACCAGAAACTGTGAATACAATAAATTGCATTTGAAATGGTGCCTCAGTTTGTGAATTCAGATGCGTGTTGAACAAAAATCCAAATCAATACTGTATGTCGAGATATGTCATTAGTTTTCACTAGTCCAGTACCGGAAATATACATTTTGTAGCTTTTTTATAAGGAATTATGAACAATCAATAAATTTCATGAGATAAACTTACGCATTTTCGTTCGTCTATTAACTAATTTTATAAAATTCTTGTAAATTTTGGATCCACATTTTTACAGTTCATTTTTAAGTGCCCAGAACAAAATTTTTACAAAATTTAATAAGACTAATATCATATCACAGCTTACCGGTTCTTTAGAATCAATTTTTGGACTACAAAAACCCGGTGTGTCAAGTAAAAGATTTCACATGTTGTTCTAGGGCATTAGAAAACAATACAACACCACTGATGCACCACTTACAAAGTAAAAGTTTGTCTACATTCACAATAGAAAATTAGTGACAAATTTCACTCATTATTGTCCGGATCTTCACATCACGGAAAATGCTGTAATTAAGTTTCCTTACAAAGCAATTGCTTGTACCTAGAAATTGAAAACAATCGTTTCTCTTTACCTTGTTAGCCTGATCCATAAACGTCAGTCCCGTGTTCTTAGCAGACTGATAAAGTGGCACGAGCGACTCCCACTTTTCCTCCAAATTCCTCAACAGCTCATCCGTAACCCTATCCCTATTCTGCAACAAATCACTCTCCAAATGATCCATCTCTTTATTGACAATGTCCGCCTCCATATGAAATTTGACATAAATCCTCGCCAAATCCAACCTATTCTCCAGAATATTCTTCAACTGAATCCACCTTTCGTGCATCTCTTCAACTTTCGAATCGACTTCTTTGCGTTGATTATCCTCCAAAAATTCGAGTATTGGCGGTAGTGTTAGTATCAAAGCGTTAATTTCGTTTCCTTTAGTCTGTAAATAAGGTAAACAATAAACCACAACTACCAATTAAAAAACCCGTAAGTACCTGTAAATCGTTAAGCAGCTGGTTGTGTAAATCCAGAAAGTCTTTGGCTAGAGGAAGATTGTCGCCCATGTTTCTGTGCTCTTGGAGAAAAGCTTCGGCCACGCTTACCAACCAACCGCAAATTTCGTGGTGCTTTTCCAAGAAATTGTTGAGGGCTTTGTTTATTCGAATGTTTTCTTCGCGATGAGCCACACATAGTCGGTCCAAAGCGATCTTCCTGTTTTCTAACTCTTCAACCTTTTGTTTCACGCCGTCCGTACCCGCCCTTCCCCTTCCTACAAGATCTAGAATTGCGTGTCCTTCTGCGATTGGCGCACCTGTGATGTCTTCGATGGCTTTGGAGGTTTGGGCGTGGAGTTGGATCAGCTGTTGGGAGGTGGACGGCAATTTGGACGTCTTTAGTTGGTTTTCGAGTTGGTCTAATTGGTTCAGGGCCTGCAACAAGAAATTTACTGAAAAGAACTCAAATTGTGGTCTTTACTGACACTTTGGGCCGATTTGAAGAAAGCCAACACCCTTTCCAAGAGTCCCTCTCGGTTTTGTAATTCCGTGTAATAGTCTGACGTGGCCGAGAGAATTTCGTAAGCTTGCCCAGCCGCTTGCTCTCCCGCGAAACACCCGGAAGCAACGAGTTGTTCAGTGGCTTTGGTTATTTTTAGGGCTCGCTCTTGAAGTTGTTTGGCTTCCGGTAATAACTTCTTATGTTCATTAAGCAATAATTCCGCACTTGATGTGGAATCGCCTAAAATTAGAGTTTAACGTGACCATAAAATCGAACAATTCAGAATTTAATATCTTACCCAGTTGGTCGGTGCTGGATAACAGCTGACTCCTTTCGTGTACGATGTCATCGAGTTCGTGCAGGTCAGCCGCTAGAATCGCCAAAGCGAGACACTGTTCTAGCTGAGTCTTCCGTCTGTTGAAAGTCGCCTCTAGAACTTGTCTCTTCAGGTGCAGTTGGTCCATCCAACCTTGTACTTGTGAAATTGCTGCAAAAATTTTTTCGTTTAACTGAAACCAGACTTGATACCTGCAGTACCTACCTCGATTTACAGAACTTCGGATTCGATCGGGTCGCGAGTCGAGTGTGCCTTCGGCCCCCAGTTCTTTTAGCTTCCCCAAAAGTGTATTCCCCGCCTGCAGAGCCCCCATTAACGACTCCAGCAATGCCCTCCTCAAGTCATGGATCATGTTCAAGAACTCCTTTACCGCGTCTATCTCGATGGGTACCACTTTATCCGTGCAGGACGCCTCTAGCTCGTCTGATCTCTGGAAAAACTCTTGCGCTTTCGTGTGGTAGAGCACGTTCAAGTCCAGGATGTCCTTGCGCATCTCCAGCAGGCCGTTGATGTCCTTCCAGGCCCTCCCCAAGGACTCTGCCATGGCCGCGTAGACCTCAGCACGCGGTCTTTGGGTCGCGATGAGTTGGTCGGCTTGTCGAAGAAGCTCTTCCACTGGGCTTTGTTTGTTCTGCAATTACCGGAATTACAGAAGGAGTGTTAATTAATGCGGAGGTGCATGTTTATTAGTCCAGAAAAGTAAATAATAGGAGTATTTACATTCAATTAAGTTGCAAGAAGTGTGCCCGGGAATTATGTTTGCGTTAATGCACTGTAATTACAGGATGTTTGTATTCAAATTTGGCTGGAATTTTGGGTATTCTTATGCTGGTGAGGAGCGTGCTTGACCTTTGGAGGTACTATTTTAGGAATTTGGTGGCTTGAATGGATGGGAGTTCTCGTGGTTTGTGAACAAATTTTATTAATATGTGTAATGTGTTTGCTCTTGTAACGCCAAGGTTTATTTGTTTACTAGTGTTTAGATTTTTATGTTCGAAGTGGAAGGTTTTTTAATGGACTTTTTAGAACTTTCACTTACTGATATGAAGTTGCTCAACTGTGTTGTAGAATATGACATTTATTTCAAAGATCAATAAAGTAGTACCACTTAATCATCAAAATAAACTTTGTTTACTAAATCAGAAATGCTACGGTCAATTGTATAACCTTTATACTAATCTATGGCCCAACTTGTTTTAACGAAAGAGATGAAAAAGGGGGCGAATATTATTTGCATAGAAATCAAATTCCTAGGGACAGTTATTTTAGAGCTACCACTTTCGCCCTTTTTTGTAATAGTACCACATGATCGAAAAAAGCCCTCCAGTAAGTCATGAAATTTATTTTTAAAACAACGATGTTGGCAATACTAAAGCGTTCCTTGTTTAATGTGAGAATTTCGGACAAATTACTATCAAATAAAGTGTCAAATAATCATTATTTTAAAAATTAATTCCATGGCCTACTAGAAATAGTAATAAGTATAGTAGAATTTCACAGTCAGTTGAACCGTAATTTAAATGGCTTTCAGATTCAGCTTCACCAGTGTCAAATTATGCACAACGAAAGTTTCTACAATTAAATGTAATTATACAATGGAGAAAGTTTTTTAATTTACTTTCAATATCATTATTAGTTTCAATTGTCACCTTGTTGACATTATTTCTATTATATTCAGCAAATTTTTCTTTGTTTTGATTTATTTTCCAGTGCCAGTAACTTCCTAAGAATTTTTTTACCACAACATAACTATAAAAAATTTTGAAGTCAACTCTGTTCAAAAAAATAATAATATTGATTTGATATATGATATTTGTTTACCGTTTTACCAACTACTATTCCTAACATATATAATAACCATATAAAGTTTGACAACAATCGGTACAGTAGTTTCGGAGATTATCTTTTTAATGAAAATCTACACAGACGACAGACAGACAACAACAAGACAGACGATAGAAAAGCAGACAACAGAAGGACAGACGACAGAAGAACCAACGATAGAAGGACAGACGACAGAGAGACAATGAACGGAAGACAAACAGATGACAGATAGAAGACAGACGACAGAAAGATACACGACAGAGGGACAGACGACAAATATCAGACATACAGGCAGCCAGCCACACAGACATACAAACAAACGGGCAAACAGACACACGATAGAAGAACAGACGACAGAAGGACACAGGACAGAAGGACAGACGACAGAGAGACGACGGATAGAAATGAAACAGACGACAGATAAACGACAAAAGGGCAAATGTCAGAAGGGCAAACAATAGAAGAACAGATGACAGAAGGACAGACGATAGAGGGACGACAGACAGACGATACACAGATGATAAATAGATGAAAGACAAACAACGGATAAACGACAGAAGGATCCACGACAGAGGAACAAACGACAAATGTCAGACATATGTATAGGCAGACAGACAGACAGACGTCAAAAAGACAGACGACAGACAGACAGACAGATAAAATTAATTAATTTTTTGAAACATCCTTTGTAAGCACTGATAAACCATAATTGTTATTTTATACTTATCTGTAAAATTCTAGGATAACGTCGGCAAATTTAATATAAAATAGAATTGTGATTAGCGATTGACCATATTTAGGCTAACTTTAAAGCGCTTGCAAAATTTCGGGGTCTTCGTTTTTTTTATTTTCAACTTAAATTTTTAAATTTAATATATAAAATTCTCGTGTCACAGTGTTTGTAACCAAACTCGTCCGAAACGGCTTAACCGATTTTTATGAAATTTTTTGTGTATATTCGGTAGGTCTAAGAATAGGTCGTAAACTATCTTTTATACCCCTAAGTGATAAGGGTCGCCCATCCAAAAAATTTTTTGACAATTTGTTTTACAGTTATTTGACCAAAACTATCAAACTAAACAAGCAACGCGTTAGTATTGCCAACATATTTTTTTAACGACATTTTTCTCGTTTATAGGCTTATGATTATGACAAATTTAATTTAAAAAACTGATGTTGGCAACAACAACAACAATATTGGTTTGGTTTAACAAGAAATTTCATGGCCCACTAGAACACTTTTTTTTCGATCATATGGTATTTCATCTATTGAAGTTTAAAGCTAATGTAAATATTTATTATCTACTTATTAAGATCAAAAAATGCATTACTAAATTTAATTTTGATTCTCTATTGTCACTTAAATGTTACAATCACTGATTCAAGGTGTACATAAAATTAAGACGTTGTGGAAAACAAAAGAAACCCGGAACACTTTCAGTCGTGTCATTTAACTTCAAAAGTAATTTATGATTATCGTGAAGATAGTGAACATTCGTTTATTCATTCTCTCCAAAAATTTGATGCTATCTTTTCAAAACATTGTTTAGTAATTCTCTTGAAACACGATTTAATAATCGGATTAAGCTCGGCCATGAAATTTTACAACTGACTTGAGGGGTTACGTAAGGGATTAACGGATTTGTTAAATATTTAGGAAATATTAACATTTATTTATTTATGCTATCCGAAAAGTTGATGACGTCATTGTAGAGATTACACGTATTAAATAAATATTTACTGAAACGTATGTGACACTCGTTGGGCTTCAGAAGCAACGAAACTTACTCATTTGATAACACAAATAAAAATGTTTACTGCAGTTTATGGTTCCAGAATAAACCTGTCGTCTGATTAAAGCAGTTGATTTTTCTTTATCTCTTTGTGTAGCTACAAAGTTGCAACCAAAATGCGGTTCCTGCAGTGAATACGGAATAAAGCCGTTGAAAAACGCTTCTTTATGCGACACAACGTCACCTTCTGCCATCCCAAAAGACCTCAATATATTAAACGAGCAATACAATGTTGCGTTCACGGCATTCCATTCAACATCATAAACACAAAATAGCCAATCAAGAGATACCACCATTCAGATGCAAATTTCCCGAAGCATCTACATTCGCTTCTTTCTCTCAACATCTTGTTACAGTTTTATTCTTCCGAGCAACTTCACAGCAGCTATGAATACACACCTTTTTTAGCTTTAATAATAGAAATCCTTAACAATACTTCCATTCGTGTTAACAAGATCCTTATCTGAATTATTTCCGAGACATTATGCTCTGACAACAATACAATCGTAGACAATCGTAGAACATCTTTGTGTGTAAATTTACCAGGCGCTCATTAATAATCGTGAGATATGAATTGAAAATTGCTTACGTTGTGCATATCCCGGAATGGAACCGAAGGAAATTCAAAACCGGGGCTGTGCCTATTTTTAGTTCAATCTCGAAGTTAGTACTTAAATCTAAATAAATATGCGGCATGTTAACCAAAGCCGAATTATAGCGAGTTATTGAAAGGCGTTGGTTGCGTGGGTTGGAATATTGCGTGATGTGGAGTGGATTCTTGACCAAGGTGGTCTTCGGCTCATTCGCGAGCAAAAAGTGTGTCCTTTTTGACTCAAGTCAACGAACTAAAAGGAAAAATTTGACACTGGAGGTGTACATTATTTGTAACCAAATCTCACAACGTATAGATTTCCTCATGAAATCTGAGCCAGCCGACTGTCAAGACAGGTAGCTCGAATTTCTCTTTGTTGTTGCTAATAAACACATAATAGCTGTCACCTGATCCACTTACAGTTCAAACGTGCAAACCACTTACTTTTAACTGGCGAAGAACTTCATCATGGGCCCTTTGTAATTCCTGTGCTTCTGCGAGAGTGTCACCCAAAGTGGTCAGTTCGGGGGTGATTTCTAGGATTTTCAGGTTGATCCAGTCGCCACACTGAAAAAAACATCTCTTTAGTTTGGTAACTGCTGAAAGTCACGCTAAACGTTGCTGAAAAAACTGGCTAGACATCAGCAAATATCGTTTGGTGATTAATTTCCACCCGGGGCGAGGAACTAAATAAACTACCACACCCGTGTTTTTATTCTGTAATTGATAGGATTTTCGTAGGGGAGTTTAAGGAATTTGAGTAGTTGACTGTTGGGTCAACAAAGAAATACAAATTTGTTTAAAATACAGCATCTGCCAGTTTTTTCATTACGTGAATTATAAAGCTTATTTTTATAAAATTTCTCTAGTAAGTAGTCATTTTCCGACGAGGTGTAGTGGACTTGTAAAGTCATTATTCGGTTGATTTAGACACCTGTAAATGAGTTAGCACAAATTCTCCCCCAGGGGAATCCAAATTACAAGCCATATATAACTTACTGTTATATGTATATACAACAGATTTTTTTTTTATTTATTTACATAGCGGTTTACCACAATGTAACACGGAAGTGCAAAACGATGTGCAAAAATCACGATCATTCAGAAACTCGAAAAATAATAAAGGCATTGTATTCACGTGCGTGCAATAATATTTACCAAGATAACACCACGATCAGATAATTTTTCGCGAGACTTGATTTTGTAATATTTATCGGTTTTTGCTTTGTAAACAATCAAAACTGCGTAATTTTCTAGGGCAAACTGTGACATAATTGACATAATTAACAATAAAAATAAAATTATAAAGCACACTGGTGTGAGATTAGTTGGGCAAACTAATACGAAAAAAGAGCGCTACATAAGTTAGCACACAACGACTTGTTTTGGCAATAAATATAATCTGTAACAATTAATGATGTCATTATAGTTGATACGGCATCGCCGCTCTAGATTATTTCGTCCGATACTAAACGCGCTGAATTTGTGTCACCACATGTTGACTTGGAGTATGAAAATACGATGACAATAATTTTAACTCTGAAGCTCAATAAAACACCTTTTTTTACCGTTACGAATAATGTTTGCGGTGACATATTTACTAGGTTTTTGACGTTATGGATTACAATTTGGTTACATGAGAGGTCGTAAATTCGATGTCAAAAAGAACCGAATTGAGAGAAACTATGTACCTCCAAATATATAATATTAACGAAATATGGTACAATCGTGCAGGTGTGTCAATCGGGTTTAAGTTCCAAATATACCACATTTCAGGTTAAAAGTAATTAGCTGAACAACTAGACCATAATTCAATCACTGTCGGTGATACAAAGTGATAATACAGAAAAATATAAAATAATCTTAGAGAGTGTAATAATAAAAATTGGTCCAAAGTTACTTATACAGAATTTCCCATGCTCCTGAAGTACAGTCAAATAAATTTATTTTATTTATTTTGTGATAAATTGATAAGCCCTGTAAGTTAAAAAATATAAATAACACCAGTCACAGTGTAAGAAAAAAAGTGGTCCATGACCGTTGGTTGCCTTGCTCTTAAACTGTTATAAAATGTTACCCATTATATAATTTGGATTTTTTTTTCGAAAATTCAAGGTGGATTCATAAACCACAAATACATGAGTACGTTATTTTAAAAAACATTTATCAAACAAAATTTTGAGGTGACGCTATCACATTGTTGGTGGTGATTTGACAACAATCGGTCCGGTAGTTTTGGAGATTATTTGTTTAATAAATAGCGATATAGACGACACATGTTTTCTCGACTTCATGACTGACCCGTAGTAAGTCAAGAAACGTCGAAAAAACATGAAAATAGTCATTCGCTTAATTACTTTAAAACTGTACCGTAGTGAAAAACTGTCGAATTAACAAATGGCTTGGAATCTTCAAATCTTGCGTTTTAAAAGTAAAAAGATGTTTTAAATGTCGCTCCAAAATTAAAAAAAAAATCCATTATGTGGATAAAATCTGCGATTTTGTTAGTAGTTTTATGAATTCGAATGGTTTTTATGATTGCGGATGGTTTCACAATCAGTCCAACACAAGATTTTTTGGCCTAACCTAAATCTTAATTTTTTTGATAAAATTGTTCTATGAAGATAATAATATAATTATAGAAAATGAAATTCCTCTGAGTTTTGTAATAATTTCAGTGAAAGCAAAAAGTCTTCTTCCTGCGACTTTTGGCATAAAAAATTACCATATCAAACTGCTTAAATATATAGAAGAAAAATATAGAAAGACTTAGACCGATATAGAAATATGTAGACTGATATCGAAGGATATAGTTGAATATATATACAAAGATATAGAAGGAAATAGGGGAATACAGAAGGATATAGATATACATAGAAGGATATAAAAGAATATAGACGGATATAGAAGCATAGATTTGTAAATCTGAAAAAATTTCCGATAAGATAGATGCCCTGTCACGGCGGACCGATGTAGTCGAATGTAGAAAGATGTAGAAGGATGTAGAAGGAAATAGAGGGATATAGAAGCATGTAGAAGAATAGAGACGGATATGGAAAGATATAGAAAAGACATAGACGGATATAGAAAGATATAGACGGATATAGAAAGATATAGACGGATATCGAAAGATATAGATGGATATAGAAGAATATATTTTTATACAGGGCAAATCTCACACCGCGCAGTCCTCGATATCTCATTAATTATTAGAAATAGAATAAAAAGTCTAAGATCAAAGTTGTACTGTTCTTTAAGGACATTAAAATTAATTTAACTATACAGAGTATTCTGTTTTTGAGGCTCGACACATAACTTAGTTTTTTCAAATGGAATACCTATGTATTCTTACACATTCTAATTAACCGTTTCTTGGGCTTTATAGTCACATTTATTTTTGAAATTTCGATTTTCTTGAATTTTTTCCACCAATGAAAAGGTTCACCAAAAAAATCGCAATAGGGCCATATTTAAAATCTGTTACAATATTTTGTAGAGAGATAAATAAAGGTACGTTCTTTATTGTAGCATAAATAAAATTAAGTCTTAATATACAGAGTGTTTACAAGAAATTATGAATACTACTTCCAAAAATCGATATTTCAGTTTTTCTTATTCTGTTCTTTCTTTGTTAACTTTCTATACTCAAAGTTGATATAGTTGTTACGATTTAATGCAAGAGAACAAAAAAATTGAAACTCAATAAAATACAGGGTATTATATTTGAATAAACTGAAATATCGATATTTCTAAATTGTCACGTTTTAGATTTTTTTATAAACCATTGTATATTTAAATTCGATATAATTAATACCACAACAAAAATCGTATCTCTGTTTATCTCCGTACAAAAATTAAAACACAGATTTTAATAAAATAACAAAATTGTAAAAACTAGGCTATGCTGCATAAAGATTATTTAAAGATAATTTTATGGAAAAAATGGTTTTATTTATAAATTTGGAGATCCACTATTTTAAATTCAGAAGGATTAAAAAGTCCAGCTTGTTTATACCGAGTGATAAAATTTACAAAGTGTCGGTTTTTTCATGCTGATAAACGGAACACCTGTATTTTATGCCACGTGTAATCAGAATGACCTTTAAATACACATTCTTTCGATTCCAGGTTTCTTGAGGTTTATACTTACCATCGAAATTCCACAGAAACTATTAGAATAAACTTCAACAAGTTTGGTAGCAAAAGAAAGTTTACTTGAAGATAAAATCAATAATGTTAAAAATACAGGGTGCTTCATTTGAATAACATATGAAACCTGAGGATCTGCAAATTTAATCAGCTTATTACTTAAATAAGCTTAAGTATTGTTCGGCTTTTTATATGTATACCAATATAACTGGACAATTTCGTATAAAATTTCACCCCAAATAACAGAACTGTGAATTTTTATGTATGACTATTTTTTCCCATATAATTATATGAGATATTTCTTTAAAAAATGTGCAATATATAAAAGAAACAGCCGGTATATTTGAAAATGATTTTAGACTGCAAGGGTAAATGAGACTGCTTCAAGAATTGTTGTTTTCAATAATTCACGGAAAATGTGTACTTTTCCATCGCCAGACCTTTGGGACACCTATATACATTACGTATATTAAAATGGAATCTAATCTCTAACACCGAAATACAATCTACATTTCACACTCACAAATCTTTTTTTTAATATTTATGACTTTCGGACTAAAGTAGGTTAATTTTCTTGTCTGCTATTGTTGTTAGATATATTTTGTTTGTATTTTATTTACCTCAACATTAACAAGATTTTATTATTCTGACACCTTCGCGCTGTACGTGCTTTCATGAACGTTCATCTGAACCTTTTATCCATTTCAAATTAAATAGAGAAAGGCAAAATTCCAAGTATCCAAGTCATGACAGGGTGTGGCAAAATTTTCACATTATTTTAAAAAATTCGGTTTCACAGTCAAATCTAAAAAAATAAACCTTAGGTCATTAGCCCCAGGACAGATAATGCACTCCTATAACATTGCTAAAAACGTTTCAACATCGACGGATATGACCATCTAAACTGATAATAATAGAAAATATTGAGATTAAGTAAAGTAACAAAATGACATAAGTGTAAAAGACTCAGTTTTGAAATTCAGAGAAATACGAACTAAGTTATGAGCTACGTTGAAAACCACTAAAAAGTGTTTTGCAAAAACCAGCACTCAGTAGAGAGCATTAGCTTAATTTCTTCTTCCCAAGAAACGCAGGAACGCTGCATTAGCATAATTGGCACCCAACTGGGATCCATTGGTTTCCATCAGCAGGAAATTAGAAAGTGAAAGAAGTGGCCGGCAGGATACTAATAGCTCAAGTGTAAATATTCCTTTCAAAACATTCAAACATAACATCACTGGCTATTTATAGCACCTGGCAGACAGTCGATGGCACATTTCGGGACACCCACACGACGGATTATAACAACAATAACAAAATTGGGGTTTCAAAGATCTATAGCACTTTTATTAGGAGATAATCGGCCCAATTGTGTAACCCGTGTTGTTGCGGACGCAATAATTACTCGTTTCCATTCG